TTTTTGATTATTTATGATATTAGTGAAGGTTTTATTATGATGATAGCTGGAAGTGTGATAGGATTGAGATTTGGCTGAACAAAGGTTGCCTTTGAGTCTTACAGCTTAAGGCATTTATAATTTGGTGTCTAGAGTTACATTAGGTTTAGGGATCTTAGGTTTAAAAGAAAAAAGAAAAAAAGGATCTTTGCTTATTATCTTTAAGCTGCTGAGGAATAGTTGAGAGTTTATTGCCAATAGATATTTGGACTCATATAGATGCTAGATTTAGGTTATCTGGACAAGGTGGCCTTTGAATCTTACAGCTTAAGGCATTTGGATTTAGCTTCAACTTATACAAAATGAAACAAATATGAATAAAAATTAACAGTTTTAAACAGAGAGGGAGTATCACATATGTTTTTTTTGTTTTTTTTTGTGGGCAGACATTGTCACTGCCACCTAATCATCCTGAGAATGGTGCCATTTCATTCTTGTGGAGTTGGTCTTACTGGAGTACCTTTCTCCTCACCTGGTATGAACTCTGCCTCGCATTCATTCACTAGTGCCTTTGCTCTTACACTTTTTCACTCTTCAGTTCTTGAAAATTAGTATAATGTGTCCTCATTTTGATCAAATTCACATTTTTAGCATGACAGTATGTGTCCCATTTAGAGTAGAAAGTTTACCATATGGTGCTTCTTATGTGTGAAGTTTGAATTTAAAATGGTTCTTGTATTTTAAATTGTAAATAGTTTACCATATGGTGCTTCTTATGTGTGAAGTTTGAATTTAAAATGGTTCTTGTATTTTAAATTGTAAATCTGTCCTGGCTGGCAGTATTTAAAATTGTCATCTACAATTGCTTTGTAGCTACTGTGTGTGTGCATTGCATTACCTAGGCCTCATATATTGAACTATGTTTCCTCTAAGCAGGGCTGTGGTGCCCCTTATTCAGGGTTTTGAAGATGCTGGAGACTTTACAGTCTCTGAGAGACTCAAGACTAGCGTTCATGTCAACTTAGTTTTCTATCTTGTTCTCGGATTCATAGGTCTTCTTGGTCTTATCCTTCTCATTATGCTTCACAGGAACTGGTAAATTGTCTTCCTTCATGATCTAATCTGCTTATATATTGGCTTCGTATCTCTTGGAAAATGCTTAGTGTTTCTACTCAGTTGCCCATTATTTAGCAGTTCGTTTCTGGAGTATTTGATGAGGCGTTTTTTTGTTTTTCTGTATTTTTAACAGGACAGGAAGCATTCTTGGCTATGCTATGGCATGCTCGAATACCTTTGGGCTGGTCACTGGTGCATTTCTTCTAGGTTTTGGTTTGAGCGAAATTCCTAAGACCCTTTGGAGGAATTCTGATTGGACCACCCGCCAAAAAGTTCTCTCCCACAAAATTGCCCAAATCGCTGTGAAACTCGATAATGCCCATCAAGAACTTTCAAATGCGATTGTAGTAAGTATTTAATCACCTATCCCCTCTCTGTTTCAAAGTTGATTATGCATGTCAGTGTCACCTTAGATCATATGACTGGAGATATTCATCTGCTAGACTTGTATGCAAAGTAATTTCGCTTCACGTAGTTTTTAGCAATCCAAATTAAGTAGACGCTGTGCTCCCTTAAGAGACCGTGACACTTGGATGTTTGTTTGTCAGAATTTTTATCACTTAATAACCATTGCCTTGTTAGGTTGCTCAAGCGACTTCTACTCAAATGTCCAAGCGTGATCCTATGAGACCATACATGAATGTTATAGATGCTATGCTCGCAAAGATGGTAACCTCTACTTCTCTCATATTGTGAACGTACAATGGCAATTCTCCGATTTGAATGATAATTTCTCTATGCCAGTTCAGGGAAGACCCGGCATTTAAGCCTCAAGGGGGTCAATTGGGTGAAAACGATATGGACTATGATACAGATGAGAAATCGATGGCAACATTAAGGCGGCACCTTCGAAATGCTAAAGATGAATATTACAGATATAAAAGGTATGGATAGCTTTCTAATAGGTTAGCCATGTCTTAGTCTTCTACAAAACTTTCATTGGTCCATTTTATAGACTTTGTTACAGCAGCATTGCATAGAAATCCGTAGTCATGTGTCAATATGGTTGTTTGCAGTGAGTATCTGACGTATGTTACAGAGGCTCTTGTTCTTGAAGACACAATGAAGAACTATGAACGGCGTGATTCAACTGGATGGTCAGATTTTCTGTCTTTTTATCTTTCATACAAGATATAAATCTCTCTCTTTGCTGGATGAACATCTTGGTTGCACAAACTTTCAGGAAATATATTTCGAGCTTCAGAGCCAGTCGGACTGGAAAATTGGGGAATTTTCTTGATACATTGGGTAAGCTCAATTATACATTGGATAACATCCTTGAAAAGAGTTGCTGTTTGGATTATTCATTGGTTTTAAAAAGCCTTGCATGACAATACTTTTGCTAATTGGCAGAGTTTATCTGGAGGTGTATGCTGAAGAAGCAGATTCAAGTGGTGTTGGCAATAGTAACAGGGATCATGTCAGCTGCAATTCTTTTAGCTGAGGCAACTCTACTTCTTAGTAAACTGGACTTATCCCTCTTCTCAATCCTGATTAGGGTTGTCAAATCCGATGAACTGCTAGTGCAGGTACGTTCTACTCCACATTTTGGGGTTAATTCTCGCTATATAGTAGCAAATTATTTCCATTTGTTACCTAAAAAATCATGATCATTTTGCTTTCAGGCATTTGCTTTTGTACCTTTGGTGTATATGTGCATCTGTACATACTATTCACTCTTCAAAATTGGAATGCTGATGATTTATTCCTTGACTCCTCGACAAACAAGTTCTGTTAATCTACTAATGATTTGCTCGTAAGTGGTAACTTATCCTCTCTTTTAAAAACACAACAAAGATGCATATACATGTTTTATGTATCTCTGTAGGATGATTGCTCGATATGCACCGCCAATATCTTACAACTTTATTAATCTCATTCAACTTCATTCCGAGACTATATTTGAGAAGGTATAGTTTTATATCTCAGAAGTCTTAAGGAGACTTGTTATAAATGGGTTTCTTTACTGTGTGTTTTTCTTTTGGTTCCTTGCAGAAAATGGGTAGAATTGACGACGCTGTCCCTATATTTGGACAACGGTTCAATGAAATATATCCACTCATAATGGTTATCTACACGTTACTAGTCGCAAGCAACTTCTTTGATCGCATATTCAGTTACTTTGGTAGCTGGAAAAGATTTAAATTTCAAACAGAGACCGACGACATGGACGGCTTTGATCCTTCAGGGTTAATGATTTTGAAGAAAGGTAAAAAGAAAAAGATACCATAGTGATGATCTTTTTCTTCATTGAGCGTTGACTGATGATATAACTCGTGCATTTATGTTGTTTAAGAACGGACATGGCTTGAAGAAGGACAAAAGGTGGGCGAGCATGTTCTTCCACTAGCAAGGAACTTCCACGATGCTGATGACATTGAACCAGGAAGCAACTTCTCTGTAAGTTTGTTTCAACTTCATTAGTTTTAGCCATTTTCTGATTTATACGATTCAAATTGGTTTAAATTGATATAAATTAGTCTAATTTTTTTGAATTAAACAGTAATATTAATCCAAATTCACAAATTTGTCTAACTTCTTTTGTTTAATATAACTAATTTTTTAAATTAAACAATAACATTAGTCCAAATCAACAAATTTGTCTAATTTCTTTTGTTTTATATATCTAATAATTTTATAATTAAATAAAAAAAAACTAAAATATCTTATATAATATATAAATCAATAATTCGTTAAGGAATAGAGAGTTCTTCAACATTGATGATTCTTGATTTTCTTGGCAGGAAAAATCTTCACTTGAAATGAAAATGTCGTCAAGCTACGACATAGATACAACAAAAGGAAGTTCATCCAACGACGACATGTCCCGTAAATACGGATCAGCTAGAGAAGCCATCACTAACAAATACGCAGCCATTAGAGAACAACAGAACAGACACTCGCCCTCAACGAAAGTGTCTTTACTCGAAACAGACAGTTCAGGTCCAAGTAGTGGTCCAGGAGAGGTGCCCTCTTCTCGGTTAGCTTCTACATGGAGAAACATGAAACAAGGAATCCAAAGTTTTAAAGAGAATGTAGCTACCAAGAAGTTTCTTCCACTAAGGCAAAGTCCTGAAACAACAACAGTAACTAGCGCAAGCACAGGAGAGATGCCTTCGTCAAGGCCCCAGTCTCTAGATGAGATATTCCAGAGATTGAAGAACCGGTCAGAAGATCACGGACATTACCTTGATGATGATGATGAAGTTTGACTATGAAGATGGTGTTCGTTGGTAATGAGAACTGGTAAAGAGACTGGTGAAAGGTGAGTGAGAAAAAGCAAAGCAAGGACCAGATTTGTTCACCATAGTATACAGAAAAATTACAAGACACTGATTTAAAAACCAAGCTAATTTGAATGTTGAAAACATTTTGAGTTGGAGTGGTCCACTTTTTGTGCTGTAGGTTATATTATATTTTAACAGTTATATTACATGTTAATATACTGTTGGACCGTATCTTATACACAGACTTATGGAAAATTAATGTAAAACAACTTTGAATTTGTATACTAACTTACATTTTTCTGGATATCTTGTTATATTTTTTTACATACAGATATATTAAATTGTTGATAACATTGCAAAACAGGTCATATTTCATATCTCCAGTAAGTATTATCCATTTATGAGAAATCAAATGTATGATGCTTAATGAGATATGTTACCAATAAAGAAAGAATGTCACGTAAGATGAATTATTAGGTGGCTTGCAAATATATAAAATAAATACTTGAAGATAATGATACAAAATGACAGGATTGGTTGGTCAAATCTCAAGAAACTTCATAGCTTTACGCATGTATCTTTGGTCAAAAATGAATTTGTAAGCAAACTGTAATAATTAAAACAAATTTAGTTTTCAAGGTTCAAAAATTTGATCCTAGATAGCTATGCGTTTATGCCCAAAAAAATAGATATGCAATTTACATGAAATTATTGTTAGATAGATGCTACACAGATCTTTGACTGATTTTTTATTTCTTTAACGATCTTTGACTGGTTAAACCAATTTTTTTTAAAAAAAAATGTTTTAAAAACATTCATTCGTTTAGATGTGTCACGGTCGAAATCGAATTTTAGAACACTAATAATTTTTCATATTATTTTCTGCTCCACTAGATTTTTTTCTAATATGTACACATAACAACAACAAAGATAATAAAAACAAAACCTAATACACTCTTTGCCGTGAAGCAACCAATCCTCCTCCGACATCAGAACCACCACCTTTCCCTTTCCAACCAAACAACTTCCTCCAAAACCCACTCACCTTAGCCGTCGTGGATTTCACCTTCTCCGTCGTCGTCTTCTTCCTCCTACTACAATCACTAACCACAAAAGAATCATCCCTCGGAACATGAGCCATAGACTTGCTTTTCTTCAGCCCTCCACCTAAACCTCCGACCAGCTTACCACTCAACGCTTCCCTCACAGCGAACGTCATCGTCATCGAACCGGACCGTCGGTGGTATTTCTTAACCGGTGAAGAAGACGAAACGGTGGTGGTGGTGGTTGAGGAGTTAGATAGGTTTATGGTGTAGTACGGCGTCGTGTTGGGTAGTAAAGAGAGTCTTTCCCTTAAGCAAGATGCGCATACTCCTCTGTAGCCTTGGTGCTTGTGCTTTCCGCAGTCCATTTCTTTTTTCTCTTCTTCTGTCACAGAGGCTGTCTCAATGTATTGTATATATATACACACGCATGCGCACGTGCGTAACTACGTGTGTAGTGTTGTTATTAATTAAAAATTATTTTATTTATTTTTATATCAATAAAATAAAATGATTTACTTTTGATGATTTTGATTTTGTAAGGAAATAGTTAAGAAAATTATTGTTTTTTAGTCAAATTTGAAGAGCCTGGTTGTTATACTATCCCATAAATTTTGCACATTACTTAATAAAAGAACATTGATAATGTAGAAAATATAAACTTGTAACAGAGGAAGTATCTATCATCACCGCAAAGAAAAGATTCTTTATTTATTTATTTATTTATTTATTTTAAGGTAGTTTTAATTTATTAAGAGATAAAAATCCATCCAGATTCCATGTTTATGAAAAGAAGACCTAAATTTGGAATTTAATATAGCCTGTTTAAAAATTTAGACTAAAATCTTGATTTCTGTTGTGAAATAAAAGGTTGTAACATGTATATCTTATTCATCACGTGCACATACATATATATACATACAAGAGAATAAGCATATTCCTTAGGAGATAAGGATTACAACAATAAAGGGGATGATTATCCTAATCCTATAATGATTAGGATAACTACAACATATGGATAAATACAAGGGAGGATAGTGACTGATGCTTGGC